GGGTAGTGCTTACGTAGTCCGCTCTTTATTAATTTAGAGATGTTGATCAGGATATATGTATGGAATGCTAATTCCTCGACACAAATTATTGGTCTATGGAAGTAACTAGGAGAGCAATGTTATAAGACACTAGTGGTGTTTAGCAGTATCATCCGCTCATAAAAGATGTGTCATATAGTGTGAACTTATAGATGATGTCTACATTTTATTAGTAATAGTGCTTAACACTAGTGGTATTCTTAAACATTTTTCCAACTAGAAAGCTCCAAGTTAAGAATTTTAAAACTTAAAAAGGACCTCGAGGACTTAAATGTTGTTGAATCAATCTTTTAGTAATTCTTGTTGTAACATATGGAAAACTTATTGAAGATGGAAAAGTGGGAGGAAATCATACAAGATTTGCTCCAGAATCAAATTAAAAAAAAAAAATGAGTATCCTCTAATTGAAAAGGTTCTAAAAAACTTAAAAGAAATGATGGTCGGTTAATCATATATATGAATTTGTTTGGAGACCTATGAGTTGGTATGAAGACTAAAGATTTGTGGATTTGTTTTAAGACATGAATTTGGTTTAAGATCCTTGAGAGCTAAATATAGAAAAATGATGTATAGTCTGATGAGGATATAAATCCTCTCCTCTCGTAAAAAGTGGGCCCATTTATGGGGCTCACTTGTGGCACCCACTTTTTATGAAAAAGTGGAGATTTAACCCCTATCATAACAAGTAAAATTACAGCTGAATGTATCCTTTCGCATGCTTCATTCTTGTTGGAAGGTTGAGCAGATCTTCGTGTGTTGAGAAATGAAGTGAAATGGGGTATTTATAAGGTGAAAAGGCCCTTCTCTATTTAATTGTATTCTAGTGTGTTAGTTATTTTTTGACATCTAAATATGACAATATTTAAATTTAAAAGCACACTTAAATGGTTTTTCAAATTGGTCAAAGGAGCCTTAGGAAGTAAAAGTCGTTAGGGAAGTTAGTGAGCAATATGTTGTTTTTAGGGCTATTTGTGTTGTCTAAATATTTGGAAAAGGGATTCAAATCTTATGTTGAATTCTAGTGTCTTAATCAGTGTTTAACAAATCATATCATGTTACATCTTGTAAAAAATTTAAGTTGTTTTTACAACTAATTCTTTATACTTATTAATGATGTGACATGATATGATTGGTTAGGCATAAAAAATTGGATAAGGATCCTTAGGAAAGATAAATTTTATTGAACAAGGTTATTTACACTTTTTCGTCAACCTTAAAAGACTTGACTAGAGTGTAGGAAAACTGTTTATGTAAAACTAATTTCAAGTTTAGATTCTAAATGGGGAAGAAAGACAAATATTCTTTTTTTGAGTAAAAATAAATATTTTTTAGAGTGTATGGGTCTGAATTTTTATCCGTTACTCTTGATTAATATCATTTTTAGTCAAATAAGTTAAAAATATATTAATCAAGAGTAAGAAATAAAAATTCAGATACATTTAAGTTCAACAATTTTCTCCTCTAAAAGTAGAGAATATTATGGCAACATATTCTAAAGGGACCCTTGGGCTTATTGAGCTTATTAGAAAAACTTCAAAAAAAATTGAGAATTTATTCTTGAGTGCATGAGTCTGGACTTTTACCCCTTATTCTTGATAAATACCCTTTTGTTAGTATAATTATTTTACTAAAAAGAATATGAATTAAGAATAAATGGTAAAAATCCTGACCCATGCACTTTTAATGGATATTTGTCAAAATTACCCTTAAATTTTAAGAATTTACTAGATTACTACTTGCATATCTTTACTTTACCCTTATTTACCGACTCATGTTTGGCCCAATAAATTCACCCAAAGTGGGTCAAAGCCCATTTAACTTTTTTTTTTTTAGAGTTGAATTAAAATGTGGCTTAGTTTTACAAATATCACTTATATAGTTGATTTTTTGAATTACATTTATTGACATCTCAAAAAAACTCATTCAATTGATTTTGTTGTGCTTTTATTTATAACTAACTTCCATATTTTCCTCATAATTGAATTGTTAAAAAATATCTAACAAGTTCATCTAAATTTTGAATTACTCTTAACATGATTATACTGGATTCTTTTAAAATTTTTAAAATTTAAATGATTATCGTCTAATTCATCTAACTTAGAACGTTTTTGAGAAAGGCATATATTTTTTCTCGAACTTGAGTTAAAAACTAGAGTTTAGTATGTGAGAGAAAATACAATAGTAAAAAAGTTACATTTGAATTTTTATGAGAGAAAATATTATAACTATTATCGTCTAATTCATCTAACTTAGAACGTTTTTGAGAAAGGCATATATATTTTCTCGAACTTGAGTTAAAAACTAGAGTTTAGTATGTGAGAGAAAATACCATAGTAAAAAAGTTACATTTGAATTTTTATGAGAGAAAATATTATAACAGAAAGTTTGAGTTGTGATTTGAGGTAGTTAAAATAACATACATTGCTTCCTGTAGTTTTTTTGAGACGCTATTGAGTTTTGAGATTCGTACAAGATTTTTCTTTTTTTGCCTTTAATTTGCATTTACATATATATCATATCTGATATATATTATCATGTCTTGTTATTGTTTCATTATATATATATATTGTTATCTCTTGTTATAGTTTTTTTTAATGGATAAATAGTTTTGTATATATAATGATATATGTTTTCTCTTTTTACCTTTAATTTAGGTGTGGATTTTATTATGTTTAATGATATTTACTTTATTTTAATATCATGATTTTGCGTACATGTATAGCCAATTTTGTTTTTGTTATATTTATGGATATTTGTATGTTCCTTTGTTGATTTTGCATATATAATGTTTGATCATTTTTATAATGAAATTGTTTGTATTTTAATGACATGAGCTAAAACAATTCATTGTTAGGATGGGGTACTAATACTTGTAGTGTTTTTATGTTTTGATAATGATATTGCTTGTATTTTAATGACATGAGCTATAACAATTATTTATCACGAACAACAGTACTGACATTGCTTTCGATCGTATTTATAATGATATTACTTGTATTTTAATGACATAAGCTAGACAAATTTTGATAGATTTGAAATATTAAATACTGATATCAGTTTTTTTTTAGACTTGATTAGTTAGAATCTAATTAATTAAATTTACTAATGCCAATTGATGGTTGAAATTTTAAAACTTACAAATACTCATATATCGTGAATGATAATTTAATTAATTTGTGATTTAATAATATCTCAATTTTTTTATTTTGGGGATTTGAATTTTTTAAAAAGATATATATCCCACTAAATGTAGGAAAAAAGTAAAGCAAATATCTAAATACGTAAAAAGCTAATATATTATTATAAGGTCAATAACGTAATTACATAATACATTATTTAAATAGCATTATATAATTAGGCTATTAATGAGATATTCTTAAACCTAAGTCACATTTCAATTCTATAATTCGGCCATATTCTAAATCAACCAAAACAAAATAAGTGGGCGCATTTATAATCTTTTGGGCCACCAATTATACAACCATATTTTATTAGATTACTTTCAAATCTTTCGTGCGTGTTTAGAACTGTTTTTAAAATTGGTTTTTACGTGTTTTGAAAAGTAAAAAATAAAAATAAAAACGAAACGACGTTTGTTTAATAAATATTTTAAAAATAAAAATAAAAACGAAAATAGCGAGAATGAATTCTGTAAATGAATTAAAAAACAATTGAAAGTTCTTTTCCTTTTCTGTTTTCATTTTTTAGTACTTATCAATAATATTATAATGTATTAATTAATAAACACGATTTCACTTTTTATTATACTTAAAATAATTTCTTAAAAAATTAACTAAACATAATTTCAAAATTAATCTTAAAATAATTCTCAAAATAATCTCATTTTTATTTTTTATTAAAAATTAAATTATTTTAAAATAAATTTCAAACGCATCCTTCATTTCTTCCCCAATGCTACAATCCAAAATGAACAATAACATTCCAAAAAAATTACTATAGTGATGAAATTCGAAAGAGAAAAAAAGAACATGGTAAAATCCATATTGCAGATAAGCATGTACTAGAATATTTTCCCCAGTAACCATTCGAGTTATTCCCCTTACGTGGCAACAGTTTATTAGCCAAAAGAGGAAAATAGTGCAATATACATCCGCAGAGGATCACAACACCAACTTGTCCCCGGAGTCATAGGCTCGTAGTCTCGTAGACCAGAGTGATTAGCGAGTCCACCCCACGCTCCGAACCTTCTTTCTCTGTCTATAAATACACCAGTGTCGGCCTTAGGGAACTCTTTTTCTCTCTCTTCCCTTCGCAAATCGCAGAGAGCTCCGACCTCCTCCATCTCTCCGGCTTTACCTCTCTCTCTGCCATGACGTCTCAGGCAAGCCTTCTCCTTCAGAAACAGCTCAAAGGTATTCGAAATTTATCATCGCGGATTCTTTCTGTATTTGAAATTTCTTGATTTGGACTTCTTGTGAGCCGTAATTTTCCTTTTGGTTAATTTATTTCTTTTTGGTTGCAGATCTTTGCAAGAATCCGGTCGATGGGTTCTCGGCCGGTTTGGTGGGCGAGAACAACATCTTTGAATGGAGCGTTACGATTATTGGACCTCCCGATACGCTTTAGTACGTTTTCTGGATAAGATTCTCTCCAGCTTAAAATTCCGTGCTTTCCTCATCGTTTTTGGGTTTTCGGTGTTCTATTTGTGGAACCGATGGTTATTTTGGGTGATTGTTTTGTGGAGAATTGGATCAAGTGTTGTGACTGGGGAAATATTATTGTGTTGAATTGAATTTGGGATTTTTGACGGGGAGAGTCGGTCTTACTTTTTGGAATTCTGGGTTCTTTTGATTTTATTCCTTAATCTTAGGGATTTACTTCAATTATGGAGTTTGTATCGAAATTTAAATCATTGAGCGTCTTCCAATATATGGGGGTGTTTATGGTCGCTGAAAATTTTTATAAAAAGAATCGATCTTTTTGGAACTTTGAACTGCTAATTTTCAGCTTGAAATTGGATTTGGCTTGATTATCTTTTATTGAGCTAGTGCATATTATCTTTTAGTTTTGCTACCAATTAGATTACCAAATTACTAGGTTAAAATATGCTTCTAAAGCAATCAATAATTTTGTGTCATATTCATGATATAATTGCAGCGAGGGAGGATTTTTCAACGCTATTATGAGCTTTCCTTCCAACTACCCAAACAGTCCTCCGTCTGTGAAGTTTACTTCCGAGATTTGGCATCCCAATGGTTGGTTACACTCCTAATTGCCATCTGTTTGATATTTTTGTCATGTTATTGAGAGTTATCTTGGTTGTTGCATAATTTCAGTTTATCAGGATGGGCGTGTTTGCATATCAATTCTTCATCCTCCGGGTGATGATCCGAATGGTTATGAGCTTGCAAGCGAGCGGTGGACACCTGTCCATACGGTATGTCATCATTCAATAATGATCTCTATAATCTTGCTTAAATCATAGAGGTTCAGCTCATGTGTTGATGAAAGTCATGAATAAGCTTCTAAAACCTCATCTTTTCACATTTTATATTCAATACAAGAGATCTCAACTGCATAATCAGACCCCAGACCACCTTACAAGAAAGCAGAAGCTATTGGAGAAAATTATCAATTTCTAACTTGTGGGTTAATGAAGAGAAACATACAAAGTCCAACTTTTGGGTTCATGAGTATTTCGCTTAGCTTATTTATCACCTGAGAAATTAATGAACACTAGGTAGTTGATAACATGATGTTTCAAATATGATGATATTGGTGTAAGAGGTAACGGGATAAACCTTTGAAGTTGTCAAAGTACTCCAGAGTCTATACTACCTGCGAGATTCATTGGGAAGAGAGTTTTGAAGCATAGTATGTTTGCTGATTACATGCAAACGTTATTAACACAATTTTTTCCTTCTGTAAATTCATAGAAAATAACTTTCTTATCGCTTCTAGGTGAAATGTGAAACTTAGGCACTCATGAATTCCCCCTTTCATTTTGTTTTGTTCTGTTTTCTCTCTGTTTTCTTTGTCATAAATTTAGTTTGACTAAGCATTTAGAAACTGAGTTAGTGGCTATGTCACAACTAAGAATCGAATCTTGATTGAATTAGTGAAGGTTATTGAACTGAAAATCAGAATCTTCCTCCAGCCTCTTGTTGTTTCTAGGTTCAATGCAAATATGTTGGGAAGTGTTTACCTTAAAACGAATTTCTTCGTGTCATTCATTGTTTTATTCTTGTTCTTCTTTCAACTGTAAGGGATCAACACTCATGACAAAAAGAGACTTGCATTGAATCTTTCTAAAGTCCTGTTTGGGAAAGTGTATGGAGCTGGCAAGATGGTTTTTGCGACAATTTCTTTCCAGTTACCTCGAATCCATTATTGTTATTTGAAGTTTAGAGTTTGCTAGTTATTCTTCTGGTGGACTTTATAGTTTTTCCAGCCCTGCTTTTTTATGGCGCATCATTACCATAAAAGATTAGTCTTGATTCAATTGTGTTGCGATATTATTGTTTAGGGACATATTTCTGTGATAAGAATTTAAGGTAGTCCTTACTCTCACTTACAGGTTTGCTGTATAACATGTTAGCATCATATTGTTGATTGAGATTGTAATGTTTTTCTTTTCTGAGACGATCATGTTTTTGAAGTCATGTTGTGTACTAATTCAGAGAATGGGACTATCATTGCAAAAGAACTGATAACATCCGTGCCTTGAATGTTTTTTAAAAGCACACAACTATAAATTGCAAATGTTCTCTTGCCTTTGGGCCATTCCCATATGTCTACACGAGAGGATCATATCATAGCAATATCATATACAGAAGAACCTCATCACGTAAGTTAACTTTGCTAACCATGAAGCAGAAGCACAAGAAATGGACTATGTGGTATTACACCCAAAGGAAAGGATCAAAAGGGGTCTTACACCTTTGAAGCATGATTTTGAAGCTTAGCACGCTGAAATTTTCTAATGGGAGGCTTGGCTCTGCAATGTCATGCTATCGTTGGAAAATTTAGGTTTTTTCTTTCCCTTCCTGTAATGGTCAAGTCATCCTATCACGGATTAATGCTTTGATGAGTGCTATATTTCTCGTCCGACTTTACAGCCTTGAAATTTTCTAAAGATTTCTCCTTTAAGTCAAGGTGGTTTATGGAGGGTTCTGAGGTCCAATCTATCTATGAATGACATAGTTTTTCTTTTGTGTGTTATACTTTAATGTGAAAATTTTCAGTTTTAACTTTTGGTTTCCTTGCAGAGGCCAGAAGCTCTGTCTCACACTTCTTGCCTTCATGTTTTAGAATGTATTACCTTTACCAAATGTAAAAATTTTGTCCTTGCAGGTTGAGAGCATAGTTTTAAGTATAATATCAATGCTTTCAAGTCCGAATGATGAATCTCCTGCCAATGTTGAAGCAGCTGTAAGTATATCTTTACTTTACCTCTTCTCTTGGCGCAAAAAAGTACACCCGTCTTCATTTTTAAGGCATATATGCTTTTCTTATATCCGATAATTGTGTGCTCCAAACGCTCGTTATGAATACTTGAGACCAAGGGAGTGGTAGATACTTCCTCAATGCATGCTGTTTGGAAGTTAGCAAGTTTTAAGATGATTGTATCGTACCAAATCAGAAAATGTGCAGTTGTTTTCAAGGAGATTTATTTTGCCTTTTCTCTTCATATTTCTCCTTGTAGTTTTAGATTCCGTTTTTTCTAGTACACGATTGATTAAAGTACACTGCCTTAAACTTTCTTTGAAGATATTGTCAATTAAGAACGCCGTGTGATCATTATTGGCATTTGATGTTGCAGAAGGAATGGAGAGATAGGAGAGATGAGTTCAAGAAAAAAGTCAGCAGATGCGTGAGAAAGTCGCAAGAAATGTTATGATTTACTACTCTGCTGCCCAACGCATTTTCTCAGCTCGCGTGCGCTAGTGCCTGTCTTCATTGACAGTGTGGGTAACTTCGCCAGATAATGGGTTGGTTGGTCCTTGTAGGATGCCATTGAAATTCTCGCGTTAATCTTCTTCACTTTCTTTCTTTCTTTTTTGTCCCTTCTTTTGGTTCTTTTTCTTTTCTTTTTCTTTTTTTAATCTTTTATGTCAAAGTATTTGTTTGTGGCTCGAGACGTCTTTGTATTCAAAGCATTCTATCTAGTGCTTGGCAGTGAAGTGTTCCTGTTAGATTATTTTCTTTGTTTTTGGCCACTTTTTTTACTTTTGTTGATGGAGCTTAGAAGTTTGAATATTATTTCAGTCAATTTTGGGGAGCTGGTTGGTGGTTTACTTATCCTCGGTCGCGGTCGGCAAGTGGTGTTTTGCATCCCACATTTTAACTAGTGCTCTTTTGGTGCGCTAGAGTGGTATTTTGTCGCTTTGGATATTTGATCTGCAAACCATGGGACTAGTTATCAATTTGGTTACCATTAAATTCCTCTAGAGTTAGTCGCTTCTTGGCTTTAATTGCTGATTGAGTCATAAATTTTAGAGAAAATTGCAAGGGGTTTGATAGATGATCTTTGCAACCTAAGCGCCTGAGAATGCAAATAATTTTCAAAACCTGGCATTGAACCACTGGCTATTTATTCAACTAGAAGATATTACAACATTGTTATGGGAGAAAATTTATCTTGTCACGTTAGATAACAAATAAGTTTTACATGGCCATTATTGTGCCATGTCAGGCAACAAATAGGTGCTGATCGTTGAAAGATTAGCGTTTTAATTGGTTGAAGCTTAGCTGTTTTAAAATGAGTGTTTATGGTAACGAGAGAGAAACCGACCACACCAGGTTCCTTCAAGACCATCCTTGAAAAAACGCTTAAGAACATCAAGCTTGTAATGTTCAGCATTCATGATGACAGTCGACCGATCAAGCAGTTAGGACGGAAATGGCTCCAAAATCTCGTAGACCGCCGATGGTATGCAAGGGTTGACGACGATGAAGGCTCTATCTTAACTTGCCATTCGGGCCAGCAAAAGCAGAGAGAGTAGCATGTTCAGTCATCTGACCCAAATCCTAAGAGTATCTCCTGAGGTGACAGGAGGAAAATCCCTAAATTATTTGCAGGCATAAATAAAGTCAGTGGCAAGAAAATGATTATTAACGTGTTAACTGCCCAAAACATACCAATAGGAAGTCACAAAGCCACAATAATGGACAAAATAAGTAGATAAACAGTAAAAAAAAGCTATAAGTAGGATAATAGATTACTTGAGAACAACCGATCTTTTGTCTCAGTTTCCTCCAAAGAAAGCCACAATAATGGACAAAATAAGTAGATAAACAGTAAAAAAAAGCTACAAGTAGGATAATAGACTACTTGAGAACAACCGACCTTTTGTCTCAGTTTCCTCCAAAATGCAATTTGTGAGATGTAAAAAGGACAAAACTCCAGAAAGAGAAATAAATCATTTTTGAGAAAACTGAGCCCATTGTAATCAAAAAAAGAAAAAAAAAAGAAATTTCTCAAAATAAATATAAATGAACCACTATAATTTCTGATTTTTTTTTTTCTTCATTTTATTACGTTTCATTCATATTAAGAACATCCATAAAACCCATACACGACCAGTTACACTTTATTGATAGAGATTAAGCGGATACAAAGTAGTTATTAGCACTTGACTTGGCCGGTTAGATAACCCATACACGACCAGTTGCACTTTATTGATGGAGATTAACCGGATACAAAGTAGTTATTAACACTTGGTTTGGCCGGTAATCTAATCGGCTACTAAGCGATAACCTGGTACATTACTATTAACGAAATTTCACGTCAACAAACATGATCAAACGGAAACATAAAAGGCGCCTCCGAGGAAATTTAACATGAAAGGATTTTTTTCTTTTTGTTTTTTTTTTTGTTTTGGCCCCTCTTAGAAAAAGCACATGGAAGGAAGGCTTTGTTTATCTGATTTTAGTCATGCTTTGGTGGGTGAACATGGCTTCCGATTCGCACCACGATCCCATTAAGATCTCGTAGGTACCCAACTTTCTGACCCCATTCTTTTTGTTCTGGCTCACTCACAGGCACTGCACCGTTCTCCACCGCTTTCTGAAATGACCACGGTGTCACAACATAGTGTCATAGTTAATCCATGAATCATGCTAAAACAACCCAAAGTAGTCTGAAAAGGTCATGCATGGATATTATCTATATATATATATATATGTATGTATATATATATTCTTTTTGATCCAACATATGATCTCTCGTCTAACGAATTACTAACAATAGTGTGCATGATGCGTACAAATGAAGAAGCCCTGCCCATAACATGAATAATGAACATCATTATATTCTTATATTTATAATTTATACCTTGTAGGCAGCATCGACGTCGGAGTATACAAAGCAAACCTCAACAGGAGCTCTGTCGCGGGCGTACTCCGGCGTCTGAACGGATCCAGTCAGATCATCCGTCTCGTGCTGATGTAGCGGTGTGAAGGCTATTGTGGTCTGCCCGCTCTCCAGCTCTCCCCACCTAATTAATTAACCGTTCGTCAGTTATTTATTTCTTAATACAACTCTCATGATCAATATATGGATTTACCATTTACAAGTATTTTTAGAATCAGAAATTCATATTTGGGCATTAATGATGTTTACAATTACGTAACGATGTTCGAGCTGATCATCTCCTAATCAGAGTATAATTACCTATGGGATTCGTCCAAGCGACGGACGCTGAAACCAAAAGCATTTTTGTAGAACTCCACGCATCTCGCTACGTCCTTGACGTACACAACTGTGTAAGCAAATTCTGGGCTAAGTTTCGACGCCATCATTAACGTTTTCTTTTCTTTTTTTCTGCTCTCAATTTGGAACTAGAAATCGATGACTCCCTCTCTTATCTTGAGCTTTTAACTTAAAAAAGGGAAACAGTTCTTTAGATCGCCTATACACGTGGCGAACTTTGACTGAGATGGAGTTCTTGCATGTCGTGGCACCGAGAGTGACGGCTGTAGGCCGTGACGATTCAGGCCCAATCCTTGTTATGGGCCCTTTAAGGTGCGGATTTGATCCAATAGCGAATCCAATCGCACTGTACGGTATAATACGAATATTACCCCTGATTATATTCCAGTCTGATTAAGTCCGTGATTCATGTCCACGTGGCGGAAAAAAGAGCGGTCAATGGATTAAAGTCACGTGCTGGGACCATCCTCTCCCGTCGAGTACGTTAACGACGGTGCTCTCATATCGTGGGCGATGACAAAAATGTCAAAAACGGAAAATTCACTCACTCAATTGAAAAAAAGTTGTCTTTAGAAAGCCCGATAATATAAAAAGCTTTACATGATTAAGCGAAAGGCAAAATTCGACAAGAAAAGGCCAACGATCACTTTCTCTGAGCTTGGAAAGCATCGATTTCACGGAATTTCGGCTCTCTTATGCTCTCGTCTGATGCTGTGAGGAAATCTGACTTGGCTTTTATGCTCTTTGTTTGTGTGTAGTAAGTTCTGTTCTGGATTATGAGATTTATGATTTGGTGTTTTTTTTTTAATAAGAGATTTTTTCTTTCGACACAACTTATGAATTAAGAATTCTCGCAATAACGAGATCTACTCGACATGAATTAGTAGTTAAGCACATAATATGTAAAATAGATTACTTACATAGTATTAGAACTATGATTCATACTAAACGGATCATTTCTTTTTCTGATATACGAAATATGGGACTTCACTAAGTTGGGATTTGTGTGATCGGATTAAAACTGAGGAATTCGTCGAAAAGTAAAAAGTTTGCTCTCTGAGAATAGGGACCAAGAATGTCTATGATTTTTCGGTTTCTTAAAGATTTTAAATTTCGAGCCTTTTAGACCCATTTTTTTGTTGCAACTTTGAAACGAGAATTAGCTCTGATGAGATTGTGGCAATTACAATTCTTTATGTGTTATTGAAGTTTTTCGGAAAGGTATTTTCCTTGGAAGATGGAGATTACTTTAGATATCTCAAACTAGCATTGCTTGCATAATTGCATTTACAATTAATCAATTGTTTACTTTTCCGTTTGTAATAATGCAATTTTGCTTTCAAAGTAAGGAACCGAGTGATAACTACATTGATAAACATCTGTATGTAATGCTTTACAATTATTTGGGCTAAACAATTTATGACCTTGGATGCCAACTTTTTGGATTGGGAAGCGTAGTTTATGAAATACGAAATTGGAGCAAAAAGAAAAAACCTATTCCTGTTACTGTCGATTTTCCATTAATTCCCTTGGTTTTGGATATTTAAAGGCATGCCCTGTTATTGTTCTTGCAGAATTGCGGATTTCTGGTATCTATAGTATCTAAAGGTGTAGAGTGTAGACTTACCATCGCAAGACATTTAAGGGTCTGCCCTGTTATGGTCCTGCTCATCGGGTATTAGTCGACCGAGACTCTTAAGAGATAGGGCTCTTTGCAATTAGGAATTCCTAATGGGGGACTCGGCGCATAGCTCTGAGTTTGGTAAAAGCTCTGAGAGGGCCAGTATTATTTCTGAAAATAAGTTATCTAAAAGTAAAAGTTATTTAGTTGCTTCTACCCATAAAGCCTCTTCACAGCCTTTTCGGAAAATTGTTTCAATAAGCCATGGGAAAAGTGGAAATGGTGCATTTTTCGGCAATGCTGCGTTGTTTCTATTGAAAGTTGCTGCGCTAGAGACTGTTAGGAGGTTTTCAAAGGCCAAGTGTCCTTTCGCTTGGCGCGGTCTTCAGGCTCTGCAAGTTCTGTGCTATCCACCATTCAAGTGGATTCAGAGATTTGCTCCCTTCAAGGGTTTGGTCAAGGGCATGCAGGTTTGTGCTTGGAGATTAATGGAGTTTTTGCTGTTGCTGTCTATATTGCATGCATTGTATCAATCATTCAACTGCAGAGAATATGGATAAATATATGTGTGTCAGTTTCTTATAATTTGTTGTGTGAATGTTTTCCCCCTCTGTTATTCACCGAGTCTTTAGGCTAGATGATGATAATAATTTCTCATGCTTCCAGATGATTTCAAAGCCGTTACTGGTACTTTCAATTGCAACAGCATTCTCCGAAGAAGCAGAATCAAGTGATAGCACGTCCGGTAGTGCACATGAAACTAGTGCATGTCCAGAGGTGCCTTCAGAGATATCTTCTGTGCAGACAACTCTCGAGACAAGGTATGGTATTAGTAACATGGACGAAGCCTTCGTGGAGATAATTGTTTTTGAAAACTTTTTGAATCATTTATATTCGGTCTCTTTACTGGGGACAATTTAGAGTTTGTTCCGTTCCTATGTAGTTGCTGCAGAGTCAAACTGACATGAATTGGAACTGTAGTTGCCAAACAGTACGAATTATTTTAAACGGTTCATGGATACTTAAAGGTTCATTTGGTTCCACATCAATTTTCTATCGTGACTCCCCTTTTCTGAAGCTTTTACTTTCATGTGATTTGCAGGCCGTTCGTTGAATGTCCTCAAACTGTAGCATCTGAAATGTGGTTGATCCAATTGCAAAAGGAGCTGGAAAAGCAAGGGATTAGTTTGCCAGAAAGGTGATTTGACAATTTCTATGGGGAAAAAAGTTGACGTTTGCACATAAGATTTTTTTTAACACCAAGTAATATGTCATGTTACTTGAACATTAGTTCTCTTTTATCAAATAGGGTACTAAAAGTCTAAAACCTGTCATAGTATTCTTTTTAGGGGAGCCCGTCATAGTTTCATTGTATTGTTATGTTTGTTATCATTCTTAAGTGTGGTAATTTTACTCTGAAACTTCTTGGTCATGTTTTCAAATGTTCTTGTATCATAAAAAGGATTTTAAGATTAAACCTTCTTGTACTCGTGTGTTTCAGTTGGCATATTTGTAGTTGAAGTTTCTTGGTTTGTCTTGTTGCAGCGGACCATGACATACTAGTGTTTGTGCAGAATTAATGAGGATGAACTCCGTAGGTTTTACACAGCCGCAAATGGCGATTTATAGTTTCATTGTATTGTTATGATTGTTATCATTCTTAAGTGTGGTAATTTTACTCTGAAACTTCTTGGTCATGTTTTCAAATGTTCTCGTATCATAAAAAGGGTTTTAAGATTAAACCTTCTTGTACTCGTGTGTTTCAGTTGGCATATTTATAGTTGAAGTTTCTTGGTTTGTCTTGTTGCAGCGGACCATGACATACTAGTGTTTGTGCAGAATTAATGAGGATGAACTCCGTAGGTTTTACACAGCTGCAAATGGCGACTTTCCGCGCTTTCTAGCTTCAATTAAGAAGACAATCCGTTGGAGAGAGACTTATAGAATTCTTTCAGCAGAGGAGCTGCAGATCTGGTCAAGCGTGGTCTTCTGGCATGGATCTGATGTGAAACAACGACCTTGCCTCATAGTACGGCTTGGCTTCGCTTGCGTCGGCTTGCCTCCTCCAGACAGGCCTCGTGTTGCTCAAGCAGTCAGTATGTCTTTTGTTTTCCACTAATAAGTTTCTCAGTTACTGAACTTATACAGCACATACTGTCGTTTGTCATCAAAATCCAAACGACAGAAATGACAAACTTATACAGCACATACTGTCGTTTGTCATCAAAATCCAAACGACAGAAATGACAAACTTATACAGCACATTTCTAAACTGATTAGTGCTCCATCTTATTTCCCTTGACCGGTCACTGCTATGTAGTTTTCTATCACTCTTGCATGCTCTGTTCTGACAGAAATGAGTTGTTGCTAACTGCAGTATCTCAAGTAGAGCACGGAGTCTTGCATTTAGTTGATCCAGAAAACTCTGAAATTACGGTTCTGGTGGATTGTGAAGGTTTATCTCCATTTAAAATTCCCATGCAAATTTTGCGAACTTGTTCTACTCTTCTTCAAGATCACTTCCCAAACCGTCTTGGATGTTTGTTTGTCATACGGCTTCCTCCAGTTCTTCGAGTTTTTGCGCAGACCTTTATACAGGTAACCTCCCCAAACCATCTTCTGTGATCTCTGGTTAAGGTTTTGGCACCTTTGCTGCACAGAAGTATGCATTAATTATGTGCTTTTTTTTTTTGTCAGATGCTAAAGCCCGTGACACGAAAAAAATTGAAAATTGAAGGGGAGACGTACAGGAAGGTACTGTCTGAGTACCTCCGGACACCACCGTCATATCTTGGTGGCAAATGCACATGTGAAAGATGCTCTGAGATCGGCAACATACGCCATTCTCGTCCTAGAAATGAAATTCCTAGAACAGAAATGACGGAGAGCATTTACGAGGGTGGAACTCCACTTTCACTGAATCCAACTTATGAGACCGTTGGCTTGAGTGGTAGCTGTGACCAGGTGGTGAGAACTGCTATAATAAGCATTCTCATGTTCTGGGTTCTCCTAGCTCTTATTGCTGGAATACATGACCCTGAAAGCCGTCCTTTTTTTACTTCTACATGAGATGAGACCATAAGAGCCACCGGCCTTTTCCTCTCTCTTGGCACTTTTTTCTTAATCCCAAGAAATCCATATTTTGTATGTTAATAGAATTCTCAATTATAAATTCACTACATTTTTCTGTTATTGTTATTTTGCAAGTTGAAGCTTTATAATTGTCTTGATACATATGTCTACAAATATATGGTTGTTAAGAACATTCGATCTTACCTATATATAGCTTGTGATATAAATACTTAGTTTTGGTCTTACCTTATTGACCTTCTCTGTCACGACGATGATGTTCACAATATATGCTTTTTTGTGGAACCATACTCGTTTTGTTTCTGTTCACCTTTCCTGTCGTAATGCGGCGGCGCCTAATTTGTAACTTGATCAATAATGCTTAAGAAATGTAATAATTTGTAACTTAATCAATAATGCTTAAGGAATGTAACAAATATGTTTAAGCAGTGCTCAAGAAACCAGTCTTATCGAATTATTTATGTCAAATTTTAAATTTGTAACAAGTAATTACTGCGTTTTGTAGGTAATTAACTTATGCTTTGGCATGATCAAGTGATAACACCTGAAGCAGTAGTTTATCGACTAGTTAAAGTATTTTATAAGCTCTTTGATTCTTGGGCAAATGACCGATATTTGTTTGACAGTGGAGAGAAGTAAAACTAATCTGGCTTATAATTGGGATGACGGACTAGAAAATAAAATACAATGTTCTATGTTTCTGCCAAACTTACTACATTTGGATTCTTAATGAGTAAAAGGCAGAGAATGAAAAAGTATAATAATGACATCATAATTGCGCTTGAAAAAATATGATTGTTAGTGGTGGTCGTGAGACTAATTAGATCCAATTTAAAATAAAATAAAAAAGAAACAAAAAAGGTGCTAGTGGATTGGCGAACTTGGCACTAATATAAGGCGGACTAGTTTTTGGCTAATGACAGAAAGAAGAAAGTGTGGTTGTTGGAAATGATCTTGGCAGTTACCAAAATACCAGGATAAAGAAGAGAATTAATGTCAAAATCATTTTTATGGAGAGGAAAAACTTAGCGGTTCTTTTCATTACATCCCTTCAGAATTTACTAAAAAAGTTATCGTTTAGTTCGTTAACTCAAGTTGAGATGTGATTTTATGTGAGAGCTTTTTACTGTAGTAAAAAAATTAAATGTGACTGTTTCTGAGAGTTTTTTTACTGTAACAAAACTCGAATCAATAAAATGAACGAAGCAGCTCTTTCTATTTTTTTATTGCCAGGGTCCTATGTTCTTCGAAGCCCTTTTGATCTGTCTTTTTCTTGTAAATAAGTGGTGGTAGTTGTATATATTTTCAAGTGTCAACTTTGTCTAGCAAAACCATATCTATTGTAATTTATGTGTAACCAACTAGCAAGTAACAAGAGGTCCTATAAGGTTATTTGTCCAAGTATGATTAAATTACATACATCCCCACCACAATGCTGCGTGATGTTAAAGAGCACTTTCTTCTTTGTAATGTGGAGCTTTTTTACGTGATTCTATTGATAATGCATTAAATTATTAAATTTAACTTTATTAATAGAGAATAATTTGAAATATTAATTCATGTCTTTTCTTTTTTTATTTATGAGATGTGAAAATTTTAAACCTTTTTTATAAACCGATTACACATTTAACAACCTAAAAATAAAAAACAACTGATAATTTATTTTTTCAATCCTAAAAACTCCCAGAAATTTTTTTCTGTTCCCTTTGTGGATACTTGTAACGGTGACCTTTGGGATTCTGAACAGATACGACAGCTGACGTCCGCAAAGAGGTCTCTGGGCTCATCAATTCAGATGTTTCCTTCTTCCAACTTTTGTGCTTGGATTTTTTGTTCTTAATTCCATACCTGGATGAGAAAGCTCTCGTAGTTGATGAAAAAATTGGTATTAATTTTTACATCCATTTTTTGACTTTGGATTATTCAGAGATAAAAAGTGAATGATGTATAACTTTCCTGAAAAACTGATGGAGCCTACATTTAGCATGGTGGAATTTGCCTAGCTAGAGAGCAAAGAGACAAGTTAATTACTAGTCTTTTTTTAATATAAATATATTAGTATCAAGATATGGAGTTTCTCTCGTGGAATCTATTAATAGTTTTATTTTTTAGTTATTTTTTATATATTTTTTAATTTTAATCAAATTCAATAATTAAAAAACTAATCTTATTATAAGACGACCTATCAAAAATAATCTCATTAAGCAAATATCGTAAAATCACTGAATAACATTAAGAAGCTTATTAATATATTTATTTAATTAAGAAATTGATCAAATAAATCAAGGAAAGTACATGAACAGCTGTGAACTATTATACACTATGGAATTTTTGGGACTTCAGTAATATTTGTACTATAAAATAATCATCTATATATAAGAAATCTCAAATCCGTTCGTTGATTTAAATTTTTAATTTGAGTTTAGATGTGATTTTATGTGAGATTTTTTATTATAGTAAAAAAATTAAATGTGACTATTTTTAAGGTTTTATATTGTAATAAAACTTAAATTTTAAACTCAAATCATCGAAATGAACAGAATCTCAATGTTGAGGACTGTTCCCACACATTTTCAACTAAAACGGTGATGTTTTGGTTGAAAATGTGTGAACAACAGTATCAGTCTTTTATACAATGTTTTTTTTCCTCACGGTTTTTCTCCTCTTTTCATCTCCTCTTTTTCTTTTTGTTTTTCCCCCATAATTTTATATTTTCCTACCTAAATGTTTCTTTCGGGTGGTACTTTAAAATTTATTTGTTCTTTCATTTTAGTTCTTTTTGACCCTTTTTTATTTTTATCCTGAAATTTTATTTTTATTTCGTTTTGGTTTTTTTTGTCCTAAAATTTATTTATCTCTTCATTTTAGTCATTTTTTTTGACTTTTTTATTTATTTGTTTCATTTTAGTTCTTTTTTATCCATTTTTTCGC